GGGGGGAGGCAATCGGGGCCGAAGCCGCGAGGTGCGGAGCGCGGAGGGCCACTCCGCGCCCTCGAGGGTGCGCCCCGGGCGATCGGAGGTGCGCCTCGAGGGTGCGCCTCGAGGGTGCGCCTCGATCGGAGGTGCGCCCTCGATCGGAGGTGCGCCCTCGAGGGTGCGCCTCGAGGGTGGCCAGTAGTGCGCGCTTGCTTTACTGACTACCTACCAGACCACCCCAACCCAACCCGAAGACCCGAATTTGACCCGAATTTCGGGTTGGGGGGGTACGGATACCATGTGTTTTTTCAACGTTCCCCGACCCCCCCCTACTGGAAATCGAGGATAAATTTGGGCCTTCGGGTTGGGTTGGGGTGGTTTGGTGGGTGGTGATTTACGAGCTTCGCCCCAGGAGTCGGAGCCGCAGAGCTGCACTCACAGCAGGCAGGAGCAGCCGCCCGACGAGTCGGGTCGGCAACGTCGAGGGCATCGGTTCGGAGCTCGGTCTGCCACCGGCCGAAGAGCGACTCGCGCTCTGCAGGATCTCTCCTCGCACTTCCATCTGAGCAGACCACGCTGCGTTTGCTATCAGAGTGTCAGGGCGACACGCCGCCGTGAGAGACACGTCAGCGTGTTCTACAGTAGGGAGCCGGCCACAGGAAACTCTCCGCAATAAACCCAACCCTGAGTCTGAGACCCCAGGACGTATATTGAGTTCTGGTGGGAACGTCACGCTTCCCATCGCAAAACCATCGAAGACCAAGACACCCAGGGCACCCTGGAATCAAGCAGGGTGTTTCTTGGCATGGGCCCCCACTGCATCGACGACACGCCGTCGTGAGAGACACGGCAGCGTGTTCTACTGAAGAAGAACCAGGCATCCGGCCAAGAGAAAATCGGGGCGTGAGCAGGCGAAACCGGGTGTTCACAAGCGGCGAACATTGTCACAATCACGCCCTCGCAATCCGGATCCTGGGGCGCGATCCCGCGGATACGCGGTCGCGCGAAGACGCTCCGCGCGGGGCCGCTGCACAGGGGAACGGCCCGCGAGGCCGCGTTCGGAAGTCTGCTTCACCCTCAGGCTCGCGCCTCGAACAAATCGCAACGGAAGGCCTGTGGGTGGCCACTTCTTGAGCAGGGACCGACCGGCCCGACATTCCTATAGTCCTACCACGGAATGTGTTTAGAACCGAAGAATGTTCCAAGAACAAAGACACTGTTCTGAGAACATCAACCCGATCTGTTCAAACAAGACAGACTCCGCCAGAAAGGTTCTGAGGACAGTTCGTGGAGACCACAAAAGGTTCCTGGAACATTGCTTGGTAGGGCTATGGTCGGGTCGGGCCAAAGGGGGGGATAGCAAAGGGGGGGAGTGAGAATCAGCTCGCGTAGCTGATTTTCCCGGCGCCTCCCGGCGCCGGGAGGCGCCCATGTATCCAGGAATGGGCCCGGCGGCGGGGCCGAAACCAGCTGCATGCAGCAGATTTCGTAACACCCCCTTTCCCTGTGCCCCCCTCCCGTCCTGCCCGATATGGGCGAGCCAGGACGCTTCGCCACTGCTTGAATGTCGTAGCCCCCCTTTCCCTCTCCCCTCCTCTCTGAAGGCGCCCTGGGACACACAAATAAATACACACAAATTATATGTTCTGGGTTTCTGTCTTCCCCACCACTTCCCATATTTTCCCATATTTTCTGGGGGGTCGACGATTAATTGTGTCTGTGTGTTTTTTCTCCTCCTGACTCTCGCCCGACCCGATGCCCAGAGGGAGGCCTCGGCGCGGCGCGCTCGCATCGGCCCTGCGCCCGACCAGCCCATCAAGCGCTTTGCTCCGTCCCTGGGAGGAGGAGTGAGGAGGAGTGAGGAGGAGGGAGGAGTGAGGAGGAGGGAGGAGGAGGGAGGAGGAGGGAGGAGGAGGAGGAGGAGGAGGAGGAGGGAGGAGGAGGGAGGAGGAGGGAGGAGGAGGAGGAGGAGGAGGAGGAGGAGGAGGAGGAGCCAGGACGCTTCGCCACTGCTCGAAGACTTTCGGCCTCCGGGTACGGACTCTCCAGTGCCCAAGGGAGGGGAGCCAGGAGCAGCTCAGGAGGACACGCCCGTCCCGGGGCAGGGGCCTCGGCCTGCGGGGAGGACCCTGTCCTGCCAGAACTGGAGGCAGCGGGCGCAGGGAGAAGTCGGGCCTGTCCCCCTACAGAGGGGGATCTTCGACGAGAAAAGGAACATGCCCCAAAAATAATCAGAACATAAGCCAAAAATAGTCGAAAACTAGTCTGGGAATTATTTTTTGAGTATGTGTTGACCTTTTGGGGGCATTTTTGGCGTATTTTTTTATTGTTCGCCGAAGATACCCCTGAAGGGGGGCACGCTCGACGTAAGCGTAGGGATGCGACAGAGGGGATAGGCCCTCCTCAGGATGCGGCGGAGCTTCTCGGAAGCCCCCTGGCCTCCTGAGCGGCAGACGGCCGTCGCAGCCTCCGGAGACGGCCCCCTGGCCCGCCCCCTCTGCATCCCCCTCTTGGCACGCCGCCGAATCAGCTGACCTAGGTGCCTCCTAGACGGGGTCCGAGTAGACGGTGTCGAAGGATCGCGTCGCATCGCCAATACATCGCCGATGTATCGGCGATGCGTCGGCGATGCATCGGCGACGTCGGTGATGCATCGAAGACGTCGGCGTGGGAAAACACGGGCTCCACATCGAGCTGCATCGTCGATGCATCGGCGATGCGGCGCGATCCTCCGACCCCATCTACTCGGACCCCATCTAGGAGGCCTAGATGACCACCTCGCCGATCCTGGCCGGGCCCATATCGCTGAGGGCTCAACGGCTGCTGCGGTTCTGCGACCGGCGTTGGATCTTCCGCGGTTGCCATTCAGGCTTGTCTTGAGATGCTTCTGGGTTCACCTCGACGCATCTGGCTTGACGAAGAAAGTACGCCCCGATTTATCTGGCTCGATTCTCGCAGGCCCATTGGAGACGAGTGGTCCAGCCCTTGGGGATCATCCTGGGCCCAGGATCGGTATATACGACCTCCTGGATTGGCCAGGAAATCGTAGACACCGATCCTGGGCTCATGATCGGCCCGGCCAGAATCGGTGAGGTTGGTCAGATGGGGGCCCAGGATGTGACAGGCCGAAAACGCGCGTCGAATAAGGGCCCCCCCCTCCAGCGCGACGTCAGGACCGTACGGCTTGCTTGAGCCCAGATAGCTTGAGCCAAAACTGGCTACGCAGGAAAAGACCAGAAAACTAAGCACTGCATCATGACACGCGCTCGATGCCTACGCGTGCGATTCGAGGCCCATGGCAAGGTCTACTCAGGGAGCAGCAATGGCAAACGAAAGAAATTGTAACGGTGGATCGACTGGGAAATCCCGCATGGCTGGACGCGAAATGATTCCGAACCTGGGCACGGCTCAGGCGCCAGGCTCTCCCGATCCGTGCCTAGGTGACGCCGTCCAGTG